CGGTCTGTAGTTCTTTGCTGTTGCTTTACTGCCCCCTTTGTGGAGTGGGGCTATGTCTGTTGTTTTTAGTAACTGTGGGACGACCCCCGTGTCCATGCTCCCTCTCCATAGGATGGTAAAGGCTCGTGATAGGGGCTTCTTGCAGTTCTTGATGAACACGGAGTTCCACGAGTCTGGCCCTGGGGCAGAGTGCATGGGCATGTCATTTATCGCCTGTTCGAAGTCATTTGGCGTCAGGATAACATCAGATAGGCTTGTGTTAACCAAATTCTGTGGCTCTCTCATAAAAAATTCATTTTGATCTTCGACTTTCAGTCTGGTTAGTGGCTTGCTAAAAACTGAGTCATATTGGGACTTGAGTAGCTCACTCATTTCCTTGCTGTCATCTGTGTAGGACCCATCTTGTTTAAGTAAGGGCCCAATACTGGACGTTGTTCTCGACTTTGATTTGGCATAGGAGAAGAAATACTTTGGGTTTCTTTCGATTTCATTTATGGCTTTTAGTTCTTCCCGCGATTCCTGACTCCTATAAGATTCCTTTAGCTTAAGTTCGATGTTTGCTATTTCTCTGACCAGTGTCTCCCTACGCATTTCAGATAGATTGACCTCTTTTAGCCGCTCTGTTATTCTTTTCCGTCGCCTGTAAAGAGAGCGCCTGTCTCTTTCTATTTTACATCTACTCTTCCTTTTTCTTAGAGGAATAAGTCTTGTGCATACATCGAGTGCCACCAAGTTAATCTGTTCTAGGCATAAGTTGGGGTCTGTGTTGCTTAGTATATCTTCCCAGCTTATATCGGTTAGGACTTGGTTTACTTGGTCCCACTTTATGTTTTTGTTATTGAAGTTGAATTTGGTGAATGCTCCCTCGTGACTAATCTCATTTTGTCGGTCTGGGGCTCCGCGCATACATGTCTGAACCTCAATTATGTTGTGATCTGAGTATATTGTTTTTGATATGGTGACATTTCTTATCAGATCATCTTTGTTAGTGAAGATGAGGTCTAGTGTATTCTCCATTCTAGTAGGCTCTATTATTTGCTGGTTTAAATTGAATTTTGTGCAGAGATTTAAAAGCTCTTGTGAGTGTGAGTTTTCATCAGAGCTGCCTCCTGGTGTTATTACTGCAACAATATTATTTGCTATATTCCTCCATTTTAGGTGCCTTAAGTTGAAATCCCACAGGAGCAAGATCTTGGGTGCAGGAGCTGGAAGATTTTCCAGACAGTGGTCAATTTTTAACAGCTGTTCCTGGAATTGCTGGGATGTTGCATCCGGAAGCTTGTAGACTACCACAATGACTAGGTTTTGGTTCTCGACCTTTACTGCTGAAACTTCCACTACATCATTTGAGGCATTAAGCAGTTCTGTGCAAACAAGTGACTCTGCAAATAGGTCAGTGTACCAGGATGTGACCCACACCAGTCGACTAACACCCAGGTACCCATTTTACTGATGGGAACAGACAACAGGTGGAAACAAACACGCCCAATGTTTCTACTCTGGCTGGGAATCGAACCCAGGCTCTCGCCGTGTAAAGCTAGAGCATTAGCCACCAGGCCACCAGAGTCCATAATGTGCTAATGTTTTAGTAAGTTTATTCAGGTATACACAAATACAGTTACATAGATTATCAAACATAGCAGCATATGTGTAGAGAACCTAGGATAACCCCAAAAAGTCAAACAGATTGACTCATTTCCATTGGGGTCCTTTAAATGATATGGTGAGATGGTGTTTCATTCGCCAGGAATGAGCAGTGTCTCAGGACACGGGTCTTAATCAAATGATGACCCTTTAACTGATTGAATATCTGCTGGCCTACAGGAGTTGAGATTTCATCACTACATAACAGTGTATCCTAAGACAGTGGTTCCAGGAGTTATGTCTGAGGTGTACAATAATGGTATAAATAGAGTGGATGCAAATAGAGTACTGCGGCTAAGAGATCGGCGCGACACACTGACACTCAGTTAATTAAGAAAAATACCCCTGATGTTGGTGAAGGGCTCATGAATTAAAGGAATTTGAGCTGTTGTACCTTTCTCCGTGTCAAACCTGGTTAAGATTAATGGGGCTTAAAACCTATCGACTACAAGAGGGTCACTAAGGCTTCAGTGACCCTCTTGTAGGCAATCCCTATTTTAGGTACTGAAGAATGCTTCAGTGCCTAAAATAGGGATTTATTTTTATTTATTTATTTATTTAAAAATTTGAGCACACATACGGAGGTACAAAAAATACAGATAAGAGCAGCATGCCAAAGCCACTTATACTATGCATAGCATTACGGGCTGGCTTAAAATTAACTTAAGATGAACTAAGCAATGATGACATCAGTGATAAAACTTTAATGTATACAGAGTACTATAAAGCACAAGTGAGTATTACAAAGACAGGTCATATGGTTGTATGCATTGTTGTACATTCAGTAGAATGGAGTATTCTGTTAGGTAGTGTATTTAAAAAATAATAAAGTTAGATTGGGTTTTAGGTTTAACATTTATGTGATATAATTGTGAGAAACATTTAAGATATACAATTTATAAGGTTCAGTTATTCAGTATTTATTTGGTTTTGGGTAAGTGATCTTTGAGAAGAGACTTGAATTTATAAACAGGTAGTGTTTCTTTTATATTTACAGGTAATGAGTTCCAGATTTTAGGGCCTTTTATGTGCATTGAGTTTTTGCATAGTGTGATTAAAGTAAACTTCATCATTTATACGCTGAGAGAAATACACCTCTCAGGGTATATAACCTGTGGCATAGATTTAGATTTTGCCACCGAAGTGGCTAGTTTATTGTGCACCCCATATCCATCCTGTGGACGGTAGCGCGAGAGCATATGGATACACAAAAGGCCTAGGAACTAGGCCCCAAAGGGTTAACAGGAATACATATGGATTTATATCTACATATCTATAGTTCACTTATCTGTTACAAGCAAATTTAGGAAATTTGCTTAGTATATCTGGTATCTTATTTTCATTAATAAGATATCTTGACATGTCACATAGGTTATTATACTGTTTGTCTCTGTATTCCTCAATAAGTGGGCAATTAAGCACATAGTGTTCAAGAGTGACCATATGCCTCCCAGCATACATAAGGGGGATTACCAACAGACCCCTGGCAGTCTTCAAGCTGGCACTGGACAAGCACCTAAAGTCGGTTCCTGACCAGCCGGGCTGTGGCTCGTACGTTGGTTTGCGTGCAGCCAGCAGTAACAGCCTGGTTGATCAGGCTCTGATCCACCAAGAGGCCTGGTCACAGACCGGGCCGCTGGGGCGTTGACCCCCTGGAACTCTCTCCAGGTAAACTCCAGGTTACATTTAGTTTGATCATCGTCTGTGTGTCTCCCAAACTGCCAGAAGTACTTGTAACCAAGCCTAAGCCTGGCCACTACAACATCAGTCTGTTCACATTGCACGTGCATAGTCAAATCTGAAAGCCCTTGTTTTTATCATTTCTCAGGCGCAGTTATCCCAGGTTCTCTACACATATGCTGCAATGTATGATAATCTGTTAGTTAGTTAGTTAGTTAAAGATTAGCCGGTATTCTCCCGGCCCGGGCCTTTTCCAAGTGGTGGCCCGGCCTTGGCTCCCTCTTTAGGGAGTGTCTGAGACCTAAGTCTCCCATGGGAGGAGGCACAAGTACCTCCTCATCTTTGGGACCAACTGTCCCCAGGCCTAGCCACAAGCTAGGCCTCTCTGGTCTGCCATCCCCGCCCCAAGGGGGCAAATGGGAATGACAGTCTTGTGAGCTGTAAGCTCGGGCTCAGGCACCTACCCTACCCTAGAAGGGTTAGGCATGGTGTCGATCGATAATCTGTGTAATTGTTTTTGTGTTTACCTGAATAAACTTACAGGTTTGGCGAGTCCTATATAATAATGTAATCTTTGCGTTATTTTATGCTGGAATGCGATAAAATTAATTGATTCAGAGAAAACTCACTCAGAAATGTTCGAGAAATGTCAAAATATTACACAAATAACCCGCACATAAAAGAGAGAAGCTTACGACTTACTGTGACTTTGTCAATGGTCCAAGTCGGACCGAAACGTCGTCGTAAGCTTCTCTCTTTTATGTGCGGGTTATTTGTGTATTGTTCCAGTCACGGTATTGTGCCTTTTTGTTATTTATTTGTCAAAATATTTTATATACAGTGGTATGATACCAACTATTCAGGAAAAAAAAAATATCCTGATTTTGCCTACTGTAAATAACGCATAACTACTTACTTTTTTTATTATAGGCATCCCTGCTAAAATATAATGTTTTTATATTTTTTGTGTGACGTAATGATTGTCTTCAAAAATAACTTATTACGATTGCAACCAGATATAAACAAGTAAATAGTTCATTACTTCTGTATTATTAAGAAGAGTCTGAGCTTGCTACCATCTGCAGCTCTTAAGACTGCCATCCCCACGAGCCCATTTGAGGCGGGGTAGATGGCAGACCAGGGGCCTAGCTTCTCCCTACGAGACCCGTGAGGGCGGGGAATGTGGCTAGGCCTGGGGACACTTGGTCCCAAAGATGAGGAGGTACTTGTACCTCCTCCCATGGGAGACTTAAGTCTCGAGACACTCCCAGATAGGGAGCCAAGGCCGGGTCTCCACCTTGCGAAAAAAGACCGGGCCGGAAGAATACCGGCGAATAAAAAAAAAAAAAAAAAAAAAAATTACTTCTGTAATTTGAATTTGTAAGTTGTTTAGTTATCAAAACTAAATAACTATAAACTAAATAATAAATAGAAATAATCAACTCAAGTTAAACTGATTTAGAAAGATATTGCAGAGGTTTGTATGATAGTTGTAAATAAATGGAAGAGTAGATTAGTGGATAACTAAAAAAAAGTGGAAAATCTGCAAATAGCTTAAGATATTCCACAATTAGGAAAATGGACCTAAGAATGTTAACGTATTCCTTCTTGCATTCTTAGCTTAGATTCATAAACCCATTGAAAAAGCTGATATTCTAGAAATATGCATTTTTAAAGCCTTGAATGGGCTAACAAAAATTGCCTTAGCCGCGATATTTCACGTCGACTAGGCAGGGTATTGGGAAAATGTTTTTCAAATAGCAAATTCGCACATCGGATAAACCTCATTGCGTTACGATAATGCCACTGCGAAAGCTAACGATGGTCAGGGAGTCTGACTACCCTCTTTCAGTGTGCTGAGGGAGCTAGTATAGCCTAACTATACTTATGTAATTCAACGTTTAAATTTGATTTTGTTTATATTTCAATGATATTTACTAATAGTCATTATTATTTAATTAATAGATTTTATCATAGATTATTTTAAGATGTTATAAACTCGGAAAGGATTAATGTATTAACAGAAATATTTAGGCGAAATTTCTTTCATTTTTTTTTTTCACTTTTATGTATATAGTAAGCAACGCAGGGAGAGTTTCAGCTCACAATCAGCAAGTCGGGTTCGAACCTCTGGCTGGTGAGAAATGAGTTGACCTTTTGTACGTACAAGGCCATTACCAACCTGGTAGTGAAAAATAAGTGTTTGGGTATTATTTCTCCAGGCAATTGTGTGTCGTAGCCAGGAAATAGTAATATGCACACAGGTTGACTTTAATGGGTAAACGAAGACTTTAAACTGTAACATATTCGCTGCTCTGACCACGGTAGAGTGCGGTTGTGTTCTGCACCCCTCTGCTGTTTGTAGCGAGCTCCCTTGTACAGTTACACCGGCTGCAGTGGTGCGATAGTGGTACTGATCACACACCTCGGCTAAAACATAAAGTGCACTGTGATTGTCAAGATGGCGTTAGCTGAGACCCCGGATCAAATACTGTATGCATTGAGATACTTAAAGGATACGTAACGCCCAGTTCTGCGCAAGTCTTATTGCCAAAAGATCATCGGGGAGACTTATTGGCGTACAAGATTGTGACTTGTTATGGGTGTTTACCTGGAGAGAGTTCGGGAGGTCAACGCCCCCGTGGCCGGTCTGTGTCCAGGCCTCCTTAGGCCAGTGCTCCCAGGATGACGACCCACACCAGTCGACTACACCCAGGTACCATTTTTACTGATGGGGAACAGAGCAACAGGTGGAAAGAAACACGTCCAATGTTTCATACTCTGGCTGGGAATCGAACCCAGGACCTCACTGTGTGAAGCGAGAGCGTTAACCACCAGGCCATCGGGCCACTGAAATGTTGAGGTACAGTCCCTGGACCCACTATGTACCTCTGTAATCCTTTGACTATCCCCCCAGGATGGTATGGAGGGCATAACAAGACAGTTAAAACTAATATTATGAGGGATGAATTAATAATTGAGACTATTGTAAAAAGTGAATGTCAGGTCAAGTTTCTCTGTTATATCATTTAGTCGCTACTTTAGGAATGAAAGCTTGAGACAGGTAGAGTGTACAGGCCAGAACAACTTTGTAAGTTTATATTTAGACTTTGGGTTCGTAACATAAATTTATTTACAATAGCACTGAGAGTACACAATGGACTTACATGTACTTCCCTTTCTTGAACTGAACCTGAATGCTTCCCATTCCCAGAATTTCGGATCCGGGAATCGACCCCCCGGACCTCAGAGTATGCAAGCAATCCAGCTGTGTTGACCAATGTTCGCAAATCAGATACAAGATTCTTCTATTCTATTCTATTTGATTCGCCAGTATGGTATCCCGGCCCGGGTCTCTTCCATTTTGGTGACCCGGCGTTGGCTCCCCGGGTAGGGAAGTGTCGTTTATCTTTACTTGCACCTGCGTGGCAGGTCTTCAGCAGGAAACCTCATGACCTCGAGGCTGGCCCCAACCCTAGGGTTGGCCATGGCACTCAATACCCTGACCCTCAGTCTGACTTTTTTGGGTTATCCTAAGTTCTCTACACATATGCTGCATGGAGACCACCCTACAGCTTATCAAGGACCACCTTCGCCTTAACATACGTAGTGATGACCTAAAGGATTGCAACTAGATGGGCTACCAAAGCAGGTTAAAAAAAACAGTGCTGTTAAAATTTCCAAAAACTAGCATACAAGAAAAAACAACCTACTAAAAAAATCTGTTTCTATGAAAATGATGTTTAAGCAATGAGTGCCTTACAAAAAACAAGACAAAACCTTCTGTATTCTTGTACTTCATAGAGAAATTGCGCTAAGTGCCCGAAAGAAAAACTCACACGTCTTTTGTGAGGGATGGAAAATATATAGCAGTTAGGAAACAGCCCACTGGGAAGAGAAACTTCATCTCCACGAACATGGACCTTAAACATTCCTAAGTGTGGCACCTGGATAACAGAAATCGGAGTAAAGTGCGTTTTAAATACCCATGTCCACCGTTAGAGTTGTTATTGTCATAAATGTGTTTGCCCCCCTAAATTTATAATTACTCCAAAACTAACTTTTAATTGTCATTGTTGTATTCAACGACCAATTCTACCTCATAGCGTAATTGTGTTTTTTATTATTATTATTAAAGATAAGCGGGTATTCTCCCGGCCGGGCCTTTTCCAAGTGGTGGCCGGCCTTGGCTACCTCTTTAGGGAGAGTCTGAGACCTAAGTCTCACCATGGAGGAGGCACAAGTACCCCCTCATCTTGGGGACCAAAACTGTTCCCAGGCCTAGCCACAAGCTAGGCCTCTCTGGTCTGCCATCCCCGCTCCAAGGGGGTATGGGAATGACCGTTTATGAGCTAATGGCTCGGCTCAGGCACATACCCTACCCTAGAAGGATTAGGCACATGGTGTTCGATGCTTAATTGTGTTTATATCTACAGAATCTATCTCCTTTTTTACAACTTATCACATCACTGTTCCATCCTTATTTTATTATAAACTACCATAAATTGTCTTCTATAATTCTACCTCACTTTAAAAAATACTCTATTGCCCAATTTTATTTAAATTACCTATTATTGCCCAATTTTACTTTAATCTATATTGATCACAAACTTTTGTAAACTTCTTTTATTGACCATTTTTATCCATAATTTTTTAAAAACTAGTATTTTCAACTACAACTTTTATATTTTATCCTGTCTACCATTTAACTAGCATAATCAAGTCTTTGCCATTTTATTTTTATTCATTTTTTTTTTATTAATATTATTTTTGCTACTTTAATTTGTGTTTTTATTCTTGTCATTTAAATCTAATAATACTTAATTCTTGTAAACACTTATATAAGACCTTAGTGCAATTACAATTGAGAGTCTTTGTTTCTTTATTTATATTTTAGATATAAATCACTAGTTTACTGATCGACAACCATGCCTAACCTTCTAGGGTAGGGTTTAGGGTAGGTAGCTGAGCCCGAGCTATAGCTCATAATGACTGTTCATTCCCATTTGACCCTTGGGGCGGGGGATGGCAGACAGAGTGGCCTAGCTTGTGGCTAGGCCTGGGGACAGTTGGTCCCAAAGATGAGGAGGTACTTGTGCTCCTCCCATGGGAGACTTAGGTTTCAGTCACTCCCTAAAGAGGGAGCCATGGCCGGGCCACCGCTTGGAAAAGGCCCGGGCCGGGAGAATACCGGCTAATCTTTAACTAACTAACAGTTTACTGATCGACACCATGCCTAACCCTTCTTAGGGTCTTTGGGTAGGAGCCCGAGCCTTTAGCTCATAAGACTGTTCATTCCATTAGCCACCTTGGTGGTGGGGATGGCAGACAGAGAGGCCTAGTTGTGGCTAGGCCTGGGGACATTGGGTCCCAAAGATGAGGTGGTCTTGAGCACGCCTCCCATGGGAGACTTAGGTCTCAGAACCACTCCCAAAAGAGGGGGAGCCAAGGCTGGGCCACCACTTGGAAAAAGGCCCCGGGCCGGCTGGGGAATATCGGTTTAAATCCTTTAATAATAATTATAATAATATACACGTTTAGATCATGACCCCATGCCTACTATCTAGGGTAGGGTTAGGTGCCTGAGCCGGGCCTTTAGCTCATAAGAATGTCATTCCCATTTGTCCCCTATGTTGCGGCGGATTGGCAGACAAGAGTGGCCTAGCTTGTGGCTAGGCCTAGGGACAGTTTGGTCCCAGGTAAGGATGAGGAGGGTACTTGTGCCTCCTCCCATGGGAGACTTAGGTCTCAGACACTTCCAAAAGAGGGAGCCAAGGCTGGGCCACCACTTGGAAAAGGCCCGGGCCGGGAGAATATCGGCTAATCTTTAATAATAATAACACAGTTTACTCATCGACACCATGCCTAACCCTTCTAGGGTAGGGTAGGTGCCTGAGCCCGAGCCTTTAGCTCATAAGACTCGTCTTCCATTTGCCACCTTAGGGCGGGGGGCATGGCAGACCAGTGAGGCCTAGCTTTGTGGCTTAGGCCTGGGGGACAGTTGGTCCAAAGATGAGGAAGCGGTACTTGTGCCTCCTCCCATGGGAGACTTAGGTCTCAGACACTCCCTAAAGAGGGAGCCAAGGCCGGGCCACCACTTGGAAAAGGCCGGGCGGGAGAATATCGGTAATCTTTATTATATAATAACACAGTTTTACTCATCGACTCCATGGCCTAACCCTGCTAGGGTTAGGGGTAGGTTGCTGAGCCGAGCCTTTAGCTCATAAGAATGTATTCCCATTTCCCCCTCTTTGGGCGGGGATGAGCAGACCAGAGAGGGCTAGCTTGTGGGTAGGCCTAGGGGACAGTTGGTCCCATAGATGAGGAGGTACTTGGCCTCCTCCCATGGGAGACTATGGTCTCAGACGAATCCAAAGAGGGAGCCAGGCCGGGCCACACTTGGCAAAGGCCCGGGCGGGAGAATGCGGCTAATCTTTAATAATAATAAAAACACAGTTTACTATAGGCTATCTAGCTCATATATAGTCCAATACCAAATCACTTACTAGACCATAGTGTGCAATTACTAGTGAGGACTGTGTGCTATTTGTTATTGTATTTTTTTATTATTAGACTAAACCTAGTGTACTATGCTCTTTGTAGCTCAATACATCAGTACTACAAATTCACTATATTTGACCATAGTGCATTATAGTTGAGAGCTGGTGCATTTCTTAATTTGTATTTTTATATTTATTAGATTAGATTCAGTTGTACCAATAGCTCATTCTAACTCAATACATAGTCAAACCAAATTCACTATATTAGTCCAGTAGGCAATTTACTGTGGAGATAGTGCTATTTTTAATTTGTATTT